AGCACAGTGCAGTTAAGGAGCATAGGATGAGAGCCAAACATAGAGGGAGTGTGCCTCACACTGGAGTCATGACCGTCATCTCTAGCATGCACTAGGTTTGTGAAAACTCAGTGTTTCGGACACTTTGCATACATTATTTTACTCAATCCCAAAACAAACCAGCGAGGAAGGTGTCATTATTATCCTCTTTTTACAGACAAGGAACCTGAACAAAAGAAGGCTATTGCCCAAGGTAACAATCCAGTAGGGATCTGAACTACATTCAAAATGGTGGGTACGTTGGTGAACCGGAAAAGGGCTGCGGTACTGGAGAATGCACAGTTTCTACTCCAAAGGACCACGTCTACTTCTCCACTTGGGTCTTTAGAGAAGAGCCTAGTTTTAGCTAGGGTGGGAATATTTTATGAGGAGGATAGAGCAGGGAACTATGCAAAGGGCTCCAGGGAAACAAGGAAAGGTGTGGGAGAGAGAAGGGAACAATGAGCACTTCATCAGGGAGAGAGTGCTTGGCGGGGGGCGCTGGGGGGGGGGGTCATAAAATGTGAGTCTATGGCTTGTAACTGTTCTCAGTTCTCTGTTTCTCTGGCTGTGGTTAATTCTCTCAGCAACAGACACACAGAGGGCCTGAGGTTATTTCCAACATCGGTTTTCAAAACATGCACTTGACATTGATTATAAGTGACTTTCCAAATATGAAAAGCAACTTTGTCCATGAAGATGCAGGGATCTGATTATTGAAAGTCATTATTAATAACTATTTATCAGACTGGCAAAAAGGAACGAACTTTGCTGGAAAAAAATAAGCAAACCTTTATGAAAAGCAAGCGCAGCTGCATTACTACTGCTGTCGCCATTCGGCACCACCTTTCTGCTCTGTAGTCCCTAGGAACTCTAGCACGGACTCGCGCTCTACTTTTTTACCTTGTATTAGAGGACTGTGCTTGTGTGTGTATCTTGTGTGCACTGTGGGCTTCACTGCCAGGATGGTAACCACTAGCCACGTGTGGCTAGGATTTGACATGTGGTTAGTCTGAATTGACATGTGCTAAGACTGTAAAATATACACCAGATTTTGAAGACTTGGTTTGAAAAAGAATGTAAAATATCTCATTAATATTTTTATATTGGTTACATGTTGAAATGATAATACTTCGGATATTTTGCGTTACATAAAATATATTATTAAAATTAACTTCACCAGTTTCTTTACCTTTTTTAAGATGGCTTACCAAAAAAATTTATTTATTTATTTATTTTTGGTGTTTTTATTTACTTTTGAGAGAGAAACAGAGTATGAGCAAGGGAGGGGCAGAGAGAGGGAGACACAGAATCCAAAGCAGGCTCCAGGCTCTGAGCTGTCAGCACAGAGCCTGATGGTCGAACCCACAAACCTTGAGATCATGACCTGAGCTGAAGGTGGATGCTTAACTGACTGAGCCACCCAAGCGTCCTACCAAAAAGTTTTAAATTACGTATGTAGTTTGCATACAAGTCTCATGTTGTATCTATTGAGCTGTGCTGGTCTGAATGCTCGCTTCTTTGAGGGCCAGTGCCTCTTCGGAGCTCTGCACATAATCAGGCTTAGGAAGTTTTTGATCGGGTTGTTGATTAGGTACCTCTGGGAAGAAGGCAAACTGAAAAGATGTCCTTTCCAATTCTAGAGCGTTCTATCATTGGAACTTAAGTTCTGTGCACTCTACATTCTCTAAATGCAAATGCGGAGGAAAAAACCCCACATCTGTTTGCAGTGATGGGAAACCAGAACCATGCCATCTGATTAAATTTGCTTAGGACTCTGTTGAAGCACCTCAGAGATTTGGGCCCTGATGTTCCTACTCTCGGGTCAGTGCTTCTTTTCATTACATCAATCTTCTCAATTTGTTTCTGGACAATCTGTTTCCTGTATGCCCTACCCTACTGCCTTTATAAAATAGAAAGTGCTTGCTTTAGTTTTGTATACTCACGTGCCTGCAGTTAGTATCTAGGTTCAGACTCTGCTCCTTCATGAATAGCTGGCTGACTAGGGGTCAGTAACCGAGTCTCCCTAAATCTCAATCTGTTCATTTTTCTTTAATATTTAAAAAATGTTTATTCATTTTTGAGAGAGACGGAGCATGAGCGGGGCAGGGGCAGAGAGAGGGGGAGACACAGAATCCAAAGCAGGCTCCAGGCTCTGAGCTGTCAGCACAGAACCCAACGTGGGGCTTAACCCCACCAGCCCTGAGATTATGACCTGAGCCGAAATTGAAAGCTTAACCGACTGAGCTACCCAGGTGCCTTCTTCATTTTTTAAAATGGAGGTAATAATAGTACTGACCTCATAGTTTTATAGGAAGGAATAAATGGATTAACACCTAGGAGATGCTACAAACTGGGCCTGGCATAGGACAAAGGCTCAATTAGTACCAGCTATTTTAATTACCCTCTCCTTATTACTTCAGCTTTGCTCTGCTCAGCCCTCGCCATCTTTGCCCAAGCCTCCTCCCCTTTGAGGAACTGTACCAGAACAACCCCATCTCACAGCTGTTAAGCTTAGCATTGCCTGCTGAGATGGCCAGGTCACTTTGGGCACTGTGCTAACTACCTTGGGGCGAGGGACTCTCAGACCCTGATTCAGAAGCTAGGTCTTAGCTGAGAGCGAGAGGGAGGGTGTGCCTGCTTATCTGAGGCTCAGTCTTTTCAGGTCTCAGCTGAGAACAGTATGGGAGTGTTTGCAGAGGCCCCTGGGGAGCAGGCATGGGTGACAGCCGCTGCCAAGGCAGGGGACCGGAATGGTCAGGAGCCAGCCCTGGGAGAAGCCCACATGAGCAGGAATACGCTGAGTTTTGTAAACCAAACAGTTATATCTATTGCACAATATACTCTTTTGGTTTTCATTATCCTCCAGCCTTTAACAAAAAGGTGGGAGCCAGTGGGGAAGAAAGAGAGCTATGGGAGACCAAGAGACAAAGGTATCACCCTTGCTGATCTGCAGACTGGAAGTTACGTGTGTGCGNTGGGGGGGGGGGGGGGGGGGGGGGGGGGGGGGGGGGGGGGGGGGGGGGGGGGGAGGATGAGGATGGCGCTAGTCAACGTGTTAGCTTGACTGCAGGGGGATCAGGCCTGGACCCTAAAAGTCATGCTGTAGGTGTTTTCTCTTTTGGACGCGTTTCTCCAGGAAGAATCCCCAGATGCCTTTCCTTGGGGAGAGATGGGCACTTGCTAGCTGCAGCAGCAGAGTTCTCCCGTTTCAGGAAAGTGGTTTAGTCAGTGCCTCTGTTTTTAGCAAGGCACCCCCACACCCTCTCTTTTCCTATCATCACCCCCCTCCCCCACCTCCTAAGCCAGGCCTGGGGTCCTCAGACATGGATCCCGGTAGTTCAGCGTTTCTGCAGAGTAATCTTTCTGTCTCCCAACCACCTGCTGTGCAGTATTCAGCTTCCTGTTCTCAAGGGGAAGGGCAACACGTGGGGGTTCCTCTCCACCAGGAAATTCTCCCTTTTCTGCCACAGGGGAAGATGGAGGTTAACTCTGACCAAAAGAAACACACAGCGAACCGGTGAATGATTAGCAAATACTCCCCATTTTCCAGGAAGAGGCAAGGAGCTTAAATTTTGAATACTTTGTGTCAAACACTGTGCTACGTACTTACATATTGTCTCATGATGTCCACAAAACAATCCTACTGAAAGGCTTCAGAAGTTCTATTCTACAGGTGGAAGAATAGAGGCTTGGAGTTGCCAAGCAACCTGTACCAAGCAAGCCACCCAACTGTGGCAGAGTTGGGAATCAAGCCACTGTGGTCCGACTGCCAATCTCGTAACCATTAGGCTACCTGCTTTTATGTGCAGAATAAATTACTGAAATTAGCAATGGCAGCTGACAGTGTGGGCACAGAAAGGACAGGATGTAGGTGTTTGGCAATAATGAGATTCCCAGCTGTTTGGGTTGGTTGAGGTGTGGCCATCTCTGGAGGCTCTCATGACCTAGATGAGTGGCCTAGATGACCTGGGACTGTCCCTGCAGCTCCCTGTCCTGGGATCAGCCTGCACTTAGGAGGCAGGGGCCAGTGAACATGCACCGGTTTGTCTCTCTTGGGGGAGGGAAAAATTACAGCTGATTTTGCAGCCTCATGTTGGAAGAATACCTTTTTATTAAGGGTCTGTAAGTCACTGCAATAGTCTCCTAGGTTTCCTTTACTTAATATTTAGATTTTTTTAAGTTTATTTCTTTATTTTGAGAGAGGCAGAGACAGTGAAAGCCAAGGGGGGACTGAGAGAGAGGGAGACAGAGAACCCCAAGCAGTCTCCGCCATGTCACCACAGAGTCCCGTGAGGGGCTCGCAGTCATGAAACCGTGAGGTCATGACCTGAGCCCAAACCAAGAGTGGGAAGCTTAACCAACTCAGCCACGCAGATGCCCCTAATATTTAGATTGTTTTTTAAAAAAGTGTAATACTGGAAATCTCTGTCCCTTGAGCTCAACTTTGCTGTGAACCTAAAACTGCTCTTTAAAAGTTTATTTTAAAATATATAAAATTATATTTTATACACGCACACACACAACATACACTGCTACTCTTCTTTAAAACTTTAACATTTGACTTGTTTTCTTTTTCTTTTTTCCTTTAACCTTCCCAATAGAGTTTGAGAGAAGGACGCCTGGTCCACAATCTTACCTGTCCTACACTGTGCTGCAAGTTCAAGGGCTCACAGCGCCCCCCTCACCTCACCCCCCGGGGTACCCTGGACCGAGTCCCCTCCTTCAGAAGTGTTTCTGGGGCAGGGGGGAAGTTACTTTTCCAAATTTCCCGGTAATACCTGCAGCTTAGTTGGCGCTCAGGCAACTCTTGCTGAACGAATGAAGGAGGGAAAGAGCGGTTTGGGGGCGGCTGTCGCGGGAGAGGGAGGGAGGAAAGGTGGGACGGGATGAAGGAGAGCGACAGGCACAGAGAGATAAAGGGTCTCGGGCGTGGCTGTCAGGAAGACAGGACCCAGGGACAGGCGGAGGCCGGCGCTTACCCCAGGAAGGTGAGGAACCGCGGGTCCGTGGCCAGGTTGGCGTCGATGGTGAAGGACAGGAAGGCGGGACTCACCAGGTGCACCGGCCGCTCGGTGGAGAAGTCCAGCGCCACGGTGTCCTCGGCCTGCGCGAGTGCCACCGGCGCGCGCAGGGAGAAGGGAGCGAGCGACCCCAGGAGCAGCAGCAGCTGCGGCTGCGGCAGCGGCTGCCCCGGCTGCCAGCGCAGCAGCATCTCGGTCTCACCTGGTCGGCCCACCCGCGGGCGCTTCGCAGCCGGAGCCCGGACCCCGCGCGCCTCCTCCCGCCACGCCACAGCGCCCTTTTCTCCCTCGCGCCTCACCCCTCCCACTGCGCCCAGCATCCCTCCCACTCCTGCCCCGCATCCCTCCCCCCGCTCCCTCTTCTCGCCGCCCCGCCTCCCCGCTCACTCCCACTTCCTAGCACCCGTTCCCCCGGGGCCGGTCACGCCCACTTTCGAAATCACCCACACTCACTCGGAGGGTGCGGACGTGGCCGGGATCCAAGTGTCCGGGAGTGGAGAGGGAGCGCCCGCGGACCAGCGCGGGGCGCCTTGGACCCCGGAGCCCAAGGCCGTGGCGCACGTGTCCCACTTCCAGGCTTCACCTGGGTGGCGCCAGGTCTTCTGACCCTCAGCTAAAACTTCCAATTGAGCATTCGTCGCTCTCCCTCTCTTTTGGCTCAGCAACACTTGCTTGTCACCTGATTAACCGTGTGTCCTTTGACCAGAGAACTGTTTCCCAGGCGTATTACTTTCACCAGGAAAAAAAAAAAAAAACTGACCTGGGCGTTGGTTCACCTACAGCTAGACAGAGATCAACTCGCAAAAATTCCTTACCAATTTGTCATGAAAACAGTACTGGGCAGAGCCTTAACAGATCAGGGGCTCCAGTACCTGAAACTCAGGACACGAAACCTCCACACAAGTCCGGGATAGTGACTGTCCCTTGAATTTGGAGCCTTTGCCAAATTCCCCCTCGTATATTTATCTTTAGCTGTTGGGCAAAACTCCTTCAGTTTTCCCCTGATGCCTTACATTGATAAATAACCGTGACAAGCACCCTGCACTTAGGGCTTACTCTAAGCCCTAAGAGGTGCTTTACTCGTATTCTCTTCTCTTCATTCCCACAACTCTGCCAAGTGCGCATTATGCCCCATTTACACATGAGGGCCCAGTGTCAAATTGGGATGTGAAGACAGTCACACAAATCCTGAGCAAATGGCAGCCTGTCTCTGCTGAAACATAACTTCCTCAAAGAAGCTATGCCTGAACCTCCAGGCAGCTGAAAGTCCCCATGGCACGCTCTCGCTGCACCCCGAATGGGCTAGAAGTTACCACATTCGCTAGTATTGTGACTATTGCTCCCATATTGGGCATCTGCTAGATTGTAGACTCCATGAAAGCAGAGATGGCATTTGTCTTGTCCATTGCACTTACTAAACTCATGGCTTTGTGCTTGGCACTTAGTAGGCATCCAATAAATATTTGTGGAGTTAACAAATCACACCAAAATGCTTAGAATTTTCTACTGAGATTGGACCACCTATAAAGCAATAAATGAAAATGGATTAGGGGCACCTGGATGGCTCAGTCGGTAGAGGACACAACTCTTGATCTCAAGGTTATGAGTTCAAGCCCCATGTTGGGTGAAAAGCTTACTTAAAAACATAGGTAAATAAAAATGGATTCTTTTAAAACATATCTAATTTACATAGATCTGTCTATTCTTAGGCAACTTAAAAGTTAACTATACAGTTAGTTGGGGAACCTGACAGTTTGAAGATTGTGTGTGTGTATCAGTTACTATTTTGCAACCTGAGTGAAATTTATATCCTGCAACTATACATAAGAAAAAAATTCATTCATAAGGCAAGTTACCAGGACATCACATGGTGGTAGACATGCAAGCAGAAAAGCAGATGCCTAGGCTCTTTCTCTGCCTTTGCCACGACTTCGATCCCCCATACCAACTCAAAGGGCAAAAGTCACAACAATTTCTTTGGACTATTTGGGTGCTTTGAAAAGTGGATCATTGCTAGTTTTCTAAACAGTGAGTCCTCGTGACATCCTGAGATGTGGGCCAGTGCAGTTGATATGCAAGTTACTCATATAGAAACTGGGAAGACATAAATGAGGAAGCAAAGAAGAGCAACTTGCACATGCAGTGGTCTGTGTTTGAGATTAGATTGAGTTTCTGGCTCCTGGATATAAGTTGGTTTGATCCATATGCCAGAGAAGAGGACTTTATGAGCACATAGGAAGGGGGAATATACAGCAATATTAACAGAAATTATCATTTCAGAGACACTTTGTAATTGGACACTTTACATTTTTATGGCAAGTTCCAGCTTACATTCATCCTAGTTAGAGCCCTTCTACATGCATCCTAGCCCTGCATCTTGAAAGGTTGAGTCACTTTTTCAACCTCCCAGAGCCTCAATTTCCTTATCAGTAAAGTGAGAATAATAGTACAAATTTCACAATGCTTATTTTGAGAATTTACTCAGTATATGTAACACATCTAGCTCTGTATACAGTATGAAGTAAGTATTCAACAGATATGTTTTTTTATTATTATTACTTCATTTAATCTTAACAATACATTGTGAAGTGGATTTAGACCCACGTTTCTGATTCCAAGTCCAGAGTTTTTCTACTATGTCACACAGATTTGGTGACTCACAAATTATGTGATGATAATGACTTAGAAATAAAAATCTTTTGGCACAAAAACAGACACTCAGGTCAATGGAACAGAATAGAGAACCCAGAAATGGACCCACAAACATATGGCTAATTCATCTTTGACAAAGCAGGAAATAATATCCGGTGGAATAAAGACAGTCTCTAAAACAAGTGGTGCTGGGAAAACTGGACAGCGACATGCAGAAAAAAACGAACGCTTTCTACACTATACACAAAAATAAACTCCAAATGGATGAAAGACCTAAATGTAAGACAGGAAGCCATCAAAATCCTCATGGAGAAAACAGGAAAAACCTCTTTGACCTTGGCCGCGGCAACTTCTTACTCAACATGTCTCTGGACAGTGACTCTCTGGAGGCAACGGAAACAAAAGCAAAAATGAACTATTGAGACCTCATCAAAACAAAAAGCTTCTTTCTGCACAGTGAAGGAAACAATCAGCACAACTAAAAGGCAATCAATGGAATGGGAGAAGATATTTGCAAACGACATATCAGATAAATGGCTAGTATTCAAAAATCTATAAAGAACTTATCAATCTCAACATCCAAAAAACAAATAATCCAGTGAAGAAATGGGCAAAAGACATGAACAGACACTTCTCCAAAAAAGACATCCGGATGGCCAACCACCACATGAAAAAATGCTCAACATCACTCATCATCAGGGAAATACAAATCAAAACCACAATGAGATGCCACCTCACACCTGTCAGAATGGCTAACATTAACAACTCAGGCAACAACAGATGTTGGCAAGGATGTGGAGAAAGAAGATCTCTTTTGCACTGCTGGTGGGAATGCAAACTTGTGCAGCCACTCTGGAAAACAGTATGAAGGTTTCTCAAAATATTAAAAATAGAACTACCCTACAACCCAGCAATTGCACTACTCGGTATTTATCCAAGGGATACAGGTGTGCTGTTTCAGAGGGGTACATGCACCCCAATGTTTATATCAACACTATCGACAGTAGCCACAGTATGGAAAGAGCCCAAATGTCCATCTATGGATGAATGGATAAAGAGGATGTGATGTGTGTGTGTGTGTGTGTGTGTGTGTATGTGTGTGTGTATATATATATATATATATAATGAAGCATTACTTGGCAATCAAAAAGAATGAAATCGTGCCATTTGCAACAACATGGATGGAACTAGAGGGATCATGCTAAGTGAAATTAGCCAGAGAAAAACAAATATCATATGACTTCACTCATATGAGGACTTTAAGATACAGAACAGATGAACATAAGGGAAGGGAAACAAAAATAATATAAAAACAGGGAGGGGGACAAAACCTAAGAGACTCTTAAATATGGAGAACAAACAGAGGGTTACAGGAGGGGTTGTGGGGGTGGAGGATGGGCTAAATGGGTCAGAGGCATTAAGGAATCTACTCCTGAAATCATTTTTGTGCTACATGCTAACTTAGATATACATTTTTTAAAAAAATTAAATAAAAATACCAAAAAAAAAAAAAAGAAATAAAAATTTGCAAGGTCACCTGGGTGGATCAGCTGACTAAGCGTCTGACTTTGGCTCAGGTCATGATCTTACAGTTCATGGGTTCGAGCTGCACATCAGGCTCTGTGCTGACAGAACAGAGCCTGGAGCCTGCTTCAGATTCTGTGTCTCCCGCTTTCTCTGCCTGTCACTTGCTTCTGCTCTCTCTCTCTCAACAATAAATAAACATTTTAAAAATTAAATAAAAAATTAAAAAAAATAAAAATGAAATAAAAGCCTTAATATGAACTAGGACAGTTCATATGGATTATTTAATCATTATAAAGTGGTATCATTTCCATGTGGCCTTTCTCTACTGGCATTGGGTTTTGAGGGACTCACAGAGGTTTACCTGGTCAATAACTACAAATACTAATAAGACAATAGGCTGACTTCAGAGCACCTTCAGAGAAGAATAAACTTTTCACTTGCCTATCTAGAAAATTAAGATTTTTCTAATGTAGAAATCTCTTACTGGGGCAATTTCTGAAGCATTTTTTGTTCCCTCTAGGCTGTGTAAGTAGTTCATGTAAACTATATTGTTTTGAGTTATTGGGTTGGAGTTACTTTAAGGTTTGGTTTAAATTCTCTGGTTATCGAACTATACTCTGAAACAAGGAGAAATCAAAACAAATGTGCGATAGGGGCTGGAAAGAAGGACGTTAATATGTATTCAGTGCACTCTGTTCTTCAAGGTGCTTTCACATATTTCTCTATTCATCTAGTCATTCAAATATCTGTTGGGTGCCACCTTGTGACAAGCATTCAGCTAAACAGCAGTAAGATTACATTCTCTTCTTTAAGTTAATGTCCATACGTACACCCTCTAAATACATATTTCTCTGTGTCTGTAGGAAAATGGTTAATTGGAGCCAGTAAGTAAGCCAGAGGGTTCCAGAGAAAGTAGGAAATGTCCCTAGAATAAGAACTCCTAAGTTCCAGCGGTCTCACACACACACACACACACACACACACACACACACACACACACACTAACCAGGTGGGTTATTATGGTGTAGGCTGAAGGATTATTCAAAAGTCCCCAGAGGAGGGCTGAATGCCCAATTCTGATCACCTGTCTCTGGGATGATGAAGGCCCTGAAGACCCTATTAATTATACTCATGCCAAAAAGGCACACTAATGTGAATTAAGCTAGATGTTATTTGTTGTTACACCCAGGCTCGGGAAACGGTGTAAGCAGCATATACGTGGGACAGAGAAGGGAGAGCTCTAAGAAATCCATTGGAAATAGGGAAGTGGTTGGGGTGGGGAGATAGGGAGGAGATGCCTCATCCTAATATTATATGTAGGCAAGACTCTCTATTCTGTTCTTGACTTTTGACCAGGCATCCAAGTGCTATGCTACTGGGTATTTACCCAAAGAATATAAAACCACTAGTGCAATAGGATATATGCACCCTTATGTTTATTGCAGCATCATTTAAATTAACCAAATTATAAGAGTAGCCCAAGTGTCCATTGATAGTTGAATGGATAAAGGAGATATGGTGTATATACATATAACGGAATTATCATTCAGCCATAAAAAAGAATGAAATCTTGCCATTTGCAACAAGAAGAGTGGAGTTAGAGACTATAATGCTAAGAGAAATAAGTCAGTTGGAGAAAGACAAATCCATATGATTTCATTAATACGTGAAATTTAAGAAACAAAACAAATGAACAAAGATTTAAAAAAGACACACACACACACACACACACACACACACACACACACACACACACCAAGAACAGACTCTTAATTATTGAGATTAAACTGATGGTTACCAGAGGGGAGGTGGGTGGGCGGATGGGTGAAATAGATGATGGGGATTAGGAGTACACTTATCATGAAGATCCTTGAGTAATGATGTACAAAATTGTTGAATCACTATATTGTATACCCAAAACTGATATAGTACTGTATGTTAACTATACTGCAATTAAATTTTTAAAACTTAAAAAACAGAAATAAAGAAGTGCTACGAAGTGAGCTGAAAGTATTTCCTGCTTTGTTGGCTCCAGTTAATCAGGAAGATGGAGTGTGTAAAAAATAGTCCTTGCAGTGGAAACTATTTAGTGGGAGTGACTGAGGCCTTATAAGGGCTACTGTTTGCATCCAGCAGAAGTGTGTGTTGATTGGTCAATGAGTTGGGCAGACAATTGCTTCTACAACTTTTATTGAATAGTTGGTTCAGGCATGATTGTGCAATTATTTGGATATTGCATTAGACTTTGTCATTAGTTAATAAAATGAAAAGAAAATGGAAAATACTATGAATGAGAAACATGGCCTCATTAAGTTCCTTCTTTGCAACAGGTGGGAAATCAT